TTAGCTTTTTAAAAACGAAACATATATAGTGAAACGGTTAAGTCTCGCTGTTTAAGATCCCTTTGGTCGAGGAAGGTCAACGTGCTTTACAGGTCTCTTGAATTCATTGATCAAATCATCTCCAGACCATCCACTAGTAGCTGCACAAACATAACATATACTTCAATTGACATAATGAATTGAAGGCCTTTTAATAATATATAGCCCCCTGTTTGATTTAGAGAAAAATAAGTTTTTTAATAGATTTTATTAAAAGTTGATAGTATGTATTATTGAAAAATTTTGTTCTATGGGATGCGTAATTAAAATTATTTATTGAATTTAATTTATATTTTAATCAATTTTTTAATTGAATCAAACATCGGCATAATATCAAACTGATAATACCAATTAACTAGCTATGTAAATCAAAATACCAATATAAATCCTAAAAACTGTTTTCCTTCACTAATCATTGTTGTTGTAGTTATTGAACGAATTAGTATGGGAGAAAAATTGTAAAAGTTTGAGAATACTTGGAGTCGCGTAACCACATGAATTAAGTGTCACAGGATAATCTGCACATGCGATCCGCCCAGAATTCTGACTCCCTGCTCAATTTACAGTTGTTATACGTCAGTGAACAAAATTATTAAAAAAAAAAAAAAGAATTAACTAAGATTGGACGTAGTCTTTGCTGACCAATGTTATTAACTGCAATTTACGGTGTAGATGTGGGAATTGGGGAAGAAAGCAAAACTTGCATCACGGTAAATTGTTGGAAATGTGTGCATGAACGAGCCGTAAAGAAAAATAGATTGGAGATCTTGACTCCATTCCAAAACAACCGGGTGGGTTGAGTAATTTTTTCGTATACTAAAATTTCTCGTAAAGAATTAGAGAATACATGGTGAAGTATTGCTGTTGAGAATGTCAATTCCACTTACACCAGCTGGTGATACAAAACCTAAAAATTGTTTTCCTAAACTAATCTGAGGGAGAAAATGTAAGTAAAAAATAGAGAATACATGGTTCCTCTGCTAACGATGGCTTTTGAGAATCCTCTTCATGTTTCTTCCCAAAAATGCGAAATAGATTAAAACAGCTTCCTGCTCAATTTACAAAAAAATAAATAAGAAAAAAAATATTAATACTGTTAACTGCAATCAATTCATGGTGAGAATTGGAAAACAAAGCAAATTAAACTTGCATCACAGTACATTGTTGGAAATGTGTGCATGAACGAGCCGTAAAGAAAAATAGATTGTAGGTCTTGACTCCATTCCAAAACAACTGGGGTGAATAATTTTCTCGTAAGAGAATTATGCTAACCTTTTTAAATGATTCCTTAAGTCCTAGCATTAACTTAGAAGAAAAACACATTACATATTGACCCACGGGACAGAATCGGAAAATAAAATAAATTGTACCTGAAGGAAGGAAGAAGCTGAAGCATGAGCAACATCCTATTAATTGACCCACTTCTTCTTCACTTTCTTGAACTATATCAATCACTACATATTTGGATTCTTCTTTGTTTGAATCCTCTGGGGGAATAACCCCCTCATTGTGTGATGGTTCCAAAAGAGGAGCAGCCAAACCAGTATCTACAAACAAGAAATTAAATATTTTATCCCTCATACAATATCATATAAAAAATTTGCTTCCCTGAAATTTCCAATTACTTTGCAATCATATCTATGACGAGTACTGATGTAAATGTAAATCGGATCTTCTTTACATCTATTCGAGACGTGATCCAACCACCTGAATCGTTGCTCTCTTAATTTTTGATCAATTAGTTAAGCTGTTTACCTGCATTCTTGTTCAAATAAATGCTGTCTCCTATTCCCTTCTCCTCAGCCTCATTTTCACTGTTATATTCTTTCGTCTCTGAGGATTTCAAATCCAATACTTCCATCCTGCCCTTAGCAGTTAGCACCACAACAAAACAAAACAAAATACTCACATGCTTTCTGATGAACTAGTTTCTGAACCTTTATATAAAAAATTTAAGGTGTATATTTATGTGTATGAAAGCAAGCTGCGCACATAGCTGTATCTATATATTGTTAATTTGCCTGTTAAACATGCATCTTTAATATTAAATTTTTCTTCTTTTTTAAATTTGCCTGGTTTAATGAGTCACGTGACTCATGAGCTGTCTGCTGTGGTGTGAACATTTAGAGAAGATTAGATTAACGTTATGGGCTTTACAAGGCAGGTCAGTTGGGAAAACAATATTATTAGTTGTTTAGAAGTGCTAAGTACTGGTTATTTAATAGAGACTTTTATNAGAAGATTAGATTATCGTTATGGGCTTTACAAGGCATGTCAGTTGGGAAATCAATTTTATTAGTTGTTTAGAAGTGCTAAGTACTGGGTATTTAATAGAGACTTTTATGTCTTTAATTAATTTTTTTATTTTTAAATCTCTATAAGTTATGGATATTAAATTGACTCTTAGACTTTTAAACTTTTGAATTGAAATTATATGCAGTTGTTAAGAAAAACTTGTAGTTAACAATGTGAGTGTTAGGTAAGAACAAATGGAATCAAAGCTACATCAATAGTTTTTTGGTCAACTAGTTGATCAGTTTAATATTAAAAGTTGTCATTCTCCTCCCTCCATTTACACTTATCTTTCTTGATTCCCTCACACAACGAATTAACCAATCACCGTCAATCTCAGAGATCTCATTAGCTGGCAAACCGATGGCCTACTAATGAAGTCAGATTCTTTCTGGCATTCAGTTTAAATCATGTTATAGTCAGTTGAATGTATCTCGAACTATAATGTAAAACGAACTTGTATATTTTTGTTTTCTTAGGAAGAAGTTGTGCGAGTGGAAAACATTATATTGTGAAGTTTTCTCAACTAATGAAGTATTTTTTTTTCTCATATGACTGTTGTCTGTTGACAAGTCAAACCACGTTTGATTATGTTTTCATTTTCGCTCATTTTATTTCTGTTGTGTGATGAGTGGAATTTTTTTCCAACAATATCGATGGTGCCAATATGTTTAGTGTAAAATTAATTTAAATGTTTCTTCTTTATCTCATACCTTGTCGTCAATTGACAAAATAAAGATTGGCTAACACCAATAAAAGTCATATTGTTAATTCGATGCCCATAGAAAAATGAACATTGAGGCAGTTGGAATTAAATGTTAGCATATGACACATTTTATTATTAGTTCGATGTTGTTGCAATTAGCATATGACATAATTTATTATTAGTCCAGTACGATACTTCATTTATTGTATCTTACCTAAGATTTGCTGTCAAATTAATGAATTGTACAATCAAAAGAAAGAATAAAGTAGAAGTAAAATAAATAAATAAAATGAAGCGAGGTATGTCGAGGTTATTCTTTTTAAGATAGATTTCTCCCCTTGTAATGGTACCAAGAAGATTAACGGGTGTCTGTTATTCAAGATACAACGCTTTTTCTGAAGTCTGTACAATTCTATACCAACCTTGTTGGTAGAACCAAAGTGTTGACAGTATTTTTCTCAAATGGAAGAAACTCAAACTAAAAATGTTCGAACAGGATTTTATTTCTAAAAATTAATTTGGATGAAATTTTAATTCAGCAAAATAAGAGGAATATAATTTTTGAAGAGGCGAGAATTATAAATCAATTTTATAACTTAAATTGATTACGTGTTGGATTTAATGAAATATGAGGTCTTGCATATTGAGTCTCAAGTGTCACAAGTGAATGGGTTCACCATTTGGTTAGGATAAATGTGAGTCCTTATATCACATCGCTTCAGATTGTGCAGTCTAGATTGTGCTCGATGTGTGAAATTTCAGCCTGGGCAATAAATTATTACAGTATGTAATAGGTAAGAATAGCCTGGGGGCAATAAATTATCACGGTATGTAATAGGTAAGAACAGATGTGTCATTGGCCTGTTAAGTGCCCTCGAAATCCATATGCCCCCTTGTTTTTTCCCATCAAAAACCTCAACAACAGCCATCTGAGAAATCACCTTGAAAGTCATCGGCCTTGGCAGAGAAATATACTATTTGGGGTGCGTATTCCAGTGTGGGGAAAAGAAGATTCATGGAGAGAATTGACATTTGACAAGTTATTCTTATTAGAGGAATTCTGTAGGTGCTGTAAATAACTTGACAACAAATCCCATAGATTAGGTAATCAGATAATTTAGAGTATTTTAGAATATTTGATTACCATTAATTAAGATTTGGTCTCATCTTGCACGTGCATATTTTCAATTGTAGGTGCTGTAAATAACTTGACAACAAATCCCATAGATTAGGTAATCAGATAATTTAGAATATTTTAGAATATTTGATTACCATTAATTAAGATTTGGTCTCATCTTCCACGTGTATATATTCCTCACCTTTATTCAATGAAAAGCAAGCCATTATTTTCAATATCTTTAATTCTACGTTGATTAAGAAATTCTCAGAAAGTTTGAGTCGGCCAGAAAATTGGGAATTTTTGATCCATAATTAAGTTTTCTTAGTTTCTGAGTTTCCACAAACAGTCAAAAATGTCTGAGACAATAGCCGACAGTCTCGTCGTTGAGATTGATATGATGCTTAGTCAGCTTAGAAGCGTGTCTCCTCCACCTTCAGAACCCTCAATGTTTAGAGTTGATGATCGTTTACGAAGCATAAATCCAAAGGCTTACGATCCAGAAATAATAGCCATTGGCCCATTTCACCGAGGTAAACGTAACTTGCAAGAGATGGAGCTACACAAAGTCAGGTATCTAAAGCTGT